TAACAACATTTTCCCAAGATGTATACGCGCCAGTATTTTTAAGCGTCTATCGGAGATGACGATTCGCATTCTAGGGTCAATTGTTAAGAGATTATCTACTTGTGGCAATTCAAAGGTGATCGAAATTGCGCGTGCCATCGAAATCAGTCATCGATGTCTTCCTATTCTCCGCGAGGTGATTCCTTCACTGCCGTTTCGCAGACCTCCGCGCACGGAATGCGATGAATATTTCAGAGATCGATCGATTTCGAGCAACTTTGTTCGCTCGACGGGGCGAAAGAGGAAGGCCCTTGCAAGGAGTACGACGGAAAGTAAGTGGCTGCTAAATATACAATGCGCTCATCGAATCGCTTAAAAGGAAGAGGCCGGGGAAAAGAGCCTCGTTGCTCGCTCGCCTATAATCGCATGCAATCGTCTCGGTCTCACAATAGTGTGTTTACTGTTTTCGAGGATCCGCGAGGAAAAGATGCGGCTGTTTTTCGTCCGCGTATATATACACTCGCGTGTCGCACCGAATTAAATTATCCCGTGAGAGACGGAAGGGCGGGAGAAATCAATGGGAATTACGTTTGTACCTTCGCCTTCGAGGAATCGAACCCGCCGGCTGCCATCGACGATGGTCGGCTCCGTTCGTTTTTTCCGAAAAAAAAAACCATCGGTCTGCTACAGGCCTCACACAGGCTACTCGCGTGCACGCTAATTATCTTACCTTACCTAGTAGGAAAACAAAAGTATGTATCTCGAATACTGGTTCTCGTATCACTCGGACGTCGGGGATCACTGTGCATATATATGTGAAATATAGGACAGCAGGCGTAAAAAGCGATAACCGCGAGTTGGTTTTCTCTTTTTAAAAAGTTTTTGAATTACTATTGATTTTATTATTATCATATTGCTTTAAATTATACACGGAAAGAACGGTTTTGCTGAAGTAGCTAAAATTTAAGATGTGAAAATAATTTTGTTGAAAATGATTATGCAAGACGTTCATTCAAATAATAATGCAACAAAAAAGTTTTTAACATTTCAGTAATCAGCGCTTGAGCATTTTACGTAATTATTTTGATGACGACAACAAAATTATTGTCAAATCTGTATCTAGCTAAATTTTTAGATACTTGAGCAAAATTGTTCTTTCTGCGTAAGTAGTTGGAGAAAAACGTTAAAAAAGTTCGACGAATTAATAGTTAAAATGTCCCTACGTTGATTATTGAGGCATTTCTCATTGAAAGCTAATAAATTGCAAAATTTGATATGGATCTCCAGCAGAAATGTTTAGGGAATACGTCCTGTATTATATCTCTATTGCGGAGGTTAGCGGTATCGCGTGATACTTGCTCATGTTTAACTTTGATGTACCGTGGAATCGTGTCGCTAAGAAATCCACGTATGAGAAATCCTCGTATTTCTCTCTGAGAGTCCGTCCAAGTGTCTCCCTTCGACCGAGGTGATAAATAAATAAATAAAAATGAGCTCGCGAATGGAACGAAAGATGGACGTCGTCCGAAGAGCGAGTCTCAATATGCGATTGGATTATCTAACTACCTTACTTAAGGATGTAAATAACGTTAAATAAAAATTAAACTATGAATAAAAAAAAAGAAGTAGTGTGTCGCGTAGTCAGGTATTGCACTGTCTCAATGGCCATCGCATCGTTGCGTATTCGTAGCGACTTTCGATCTGTAAGTGGAAAACGTTGCGTCGGAAACGGTGTCCGAAAGACCTCGCGACATGGGAATCGCATGCTCGATTTCTTCCCGAATTTTGTTGCAGCGAGAACACATGGAAAAACGCGCAACGGAAAATGCGTTTCGTGGATTGTGAACGAAAGACTTTTCGACACATACAGGATTCGCTTGGCGTTCTCGGTTATGTGCACAATGCCGTTTGCGTCGTTCGCGTGTCAGATGTGTCCATGATTAACTCGCGAAGAAAAGTGATGTCATCTTGGAGAAAAAAATGAGGAACAAATGTTAATCGAAGAGGCCACTAATACCAGCGCACTCGTAATAAATTCTCTCTCTCTCTCTCTTGTTCTCTCTTTCTCTCTCACTTTCTCTCACTTTTTCCTATTACGAATTTATAAACCGCGTGTCCACCGAGTCGAATTGCACCGCGTAAAATTTCATTAAGTGGACGTTTCCTGTCTACCTCTTCCGATTCCCCCCCCCCCTCCCCATCCTTCCTCCAACTTCCGATCCTGTCTTTATCATCGGCGCGCGCACGTTCTTTTCCCAACTCCCCCCGTGTCAACTGTATAAAATATTCTCAATCATATCAACAACAGTCGCATCGTACAACGTCAGTGTGTGTACATTATTACAATAGTTTATAGTTAATCGTAATCAATATAATATTCACAGCATTTTATCAAAATCTCTTAAAAGCACCAACCGTGGCGGCTCAAATTTTCCCCTCTCGCTCCCTCCCCTTTTACCCTTCTCGTTCCGTGTCGCTTTATCCATTTTTCCCACCCTCCCTTAACTTTTCTTTAACTAACCCCATGTCGCTCGTATATGTGTTTTGTGTGTGTGTGTGTGTGTGTGTGTGTGTGTGTGTGTGTGTGTGTGTGTGTGTGTGTGTATATATATACCTTTAATAATTTATCGATATATATATACGTATAATTTATAATATATATATCTATATATATATTTATATATGTATATAATAAGCTAAACGTTTCGTCTTAAAGCACTGATTAAACGAGGGAGCTCGTTATTAACGTGTCCCTCCCCCTGAACACGCGTTTACCAACCATCCTAACCAAAATCACAGGACTAACTAGAAACACCGCCAGCTTCTTGCTCCGTCGCTCAATTATTGGGACCGTTGACGCAGGAAATCGCGCGTCGCGACGCGCGCGATCAGCAGATGGACGAGAGGAGATAAATGGTACTGGTGGAGAATTGGGGAACGTGCAGAGCGGGATTAGGATAGAACGTATGGATGTGAAACGATGTCGAAGGAACACGTCGCGGTAACGGAGGCGACAGCGGCGGCACCAGAAGCGGGGACGATACCATCCGTATCGTCGCCTGTCCGTTCGCGCGATCGGCGACGACGACAACGCGGATGCGTCGTGGATCAGCAAAGCGTCCCGTACGGTGATCGTCGTCAATATCGTCATTGACGGTGGTGGCGACGACGGCGACGGCGGCGGCGGCGGCGGCGGC